CAAAGCTCTCAGCCTTTTCTAGTTAGAGAGTTCCTGTCTGACGTGTGTGCACATATAAATATAAATATAAATATAAGTGAAAAAGCAGAAGGAAGTGAAGGCAGGGAAACAGAAGATGAAGAACACTGCTGCGCAAGAGAAAGTCACAGAGAGCAGTGTGCGGGGCTGAGGGACCTGCGCGTCAGAGGCAGATGGCACAACAGGGTTTGTCTCAGCAAAGTGAGCAGACACCAATTCAAAGAGAATAGTAGCTGAAAAATTTCCACATGACAACTACATAGAGATTCAAGAAGTTAAATTTCAAACAGGGTGATATTTGACTTTGTGGCAAGTCAAGTCTTTCTGTGGCACAGGAAAAAAAAATGTTTGTTTTTTTTTTTAAGTTGATAAATTGGACATTGGCCACATCTCTCAAAGCCACCATTGAGAAAACATGAATTAGGGGTTGGAGAGATGGCTTAGCGGGTAAAAGTGCTTGCCACCAAGCCTGATCTCTTAAGACCCACCTGGTGGAAAGATAGAACTGAACCCACAACCCACAAGTTGTCCTGTGCACGCACCTACACAAATAAATAAATGTAATTTTAAAAAAAGGTTAAATTAGGTCAGCCAGGGTTGCTTGTGTCTGTAATCCAAGTATTTGGAAAGGGGAGGCAGCAAGATGAGCAGTTCAAGGCCAGCCTGGGCCACATGAAACCTTGTCTCCACACCATTCCTTTCCAGAAAGAGCTCCTAGATTTAAAAAATAAGAGAGTCAGTCTCTCTCTCTCTCTCTCTCTCTCTCTCTCTCTCTCTCTCTCTCTCTGTGTGTGTGCTTGCGTGTGCGTGCCATACATCCATATGACAGAACAATAGAAAGGAGGCCTGATTGTTTGTTGGAGAAAGAAGCCTAAAGAGACAGGGATGCTTCCTGTTGTGGAATCTGGATTTAAGCTGCTCACATTAGAGGGTTGGCTGAGTGGGATATGAACAGGGTCTAGCATCACATATGAATAAAGGAGTTAAAATAAAACCCATTATCGACTAAACAAGAAGACAGCTGGGCAGAGGGGTGAACTCTTTTAGTCCCAGTACTTGGGAGGCAGAAACAGGCAGGTCACTGAGCTCAAGGCCAGACTGGTCTACACAGAGAGTTCAGGACAAACATAGGAAGACACTGTTCAAAACAAAAACCCAAACAAAAAGTTAGACCATCTGGGTAGAAATAAACCACAAGTACTTAGGCGCTGTTGCTTGGATTATGCATTTTTGTGGCACTAGGATTTCAGAAGGGCGAGTCGGGGAGTCTCTGGGTTGTTGGTGGTCTGCCTCCAAGACCTGTGGAACTCTTGTCCCTCTTTCTCTTCTCTCTGCTTCTGCCATGGTGTGCTTTGCTTTAGCACTGCCTGGATGGAATGCCACCAGCTGATCCTAGACCAGAGTCTCTCTCTACAGTAGCGAGTCAGGTATTTTCTCTTTAGAAATCAGGTATCTCAGGTTATAGTGGTTCGGGGCTAACAGTGCAAAGCCTGTTGCGTTTCAGATTCCACCAAGTACAAAACTCTAGAGTCCACTAATAACTCAGTTTTGTTTGGTGTGTGTGTGTGTGTGTGTTTAATGGGTACACAGGAACTGGGGAGATAGCTCAGTCAGTAAAATGTTTACTGTGCAAGCATGAGGCCCTAAATTCAATCTCTAGGACTCATTAAAAAGAAAAGAAAAGAAAAGGCCAGGTGTGCTTGTTGGTGTTCATGATCCCAGTGCTAGCGGAGCGGAGACAGGGGGGTCTGTGGGGCTCACTGGCCAGCCAGCCTTGCCCACTCCATAAGCTGTAGGCCAGGGAGAGACCCTGTCTCAAAAAGGGGTGGTGGATGCTGCTTGAGGAACAACATCTACGGTTACCGTCTGGCACCTCTAGACCTAAACACATGCACAAATATGTGAGCAAATGATTTTAAAAGACACTATAAAAGAAGGCTCACAAATGGCTGGTAACACGGAAAGATACAGAATTTCATTAGCCCTCATGGAAATGCATTGTGCTTTTCCTGCAATCCCTGCAACCACCGAAAGGCTGAAGATGAGGCCGAGATGTAATGTCAGGGAGCAGGTGGGAGCAGGACGTTCTTGCTGGAAAACAGTTGGTGGCTTCTGTAAGGTCAAATAACACCACAGTTATCTGCTTAGAAAGTACACTTCTGGCTGGCCAGGTGGTGGGGCACACCCTTAATCCCAGCAGAGGCAGAGGCAGAGGCAGGCGGATCTCTGTGAGTTGGAGGCCAGCCTGGTCTACAAAGCAAGTTTCAGGACAGCTAGGGCTGTTACACAGAGAAACCCTGTCTTGAAACTCTTCCCCACTCCAAAAAAAGTGCATTTCTGCAAAGTTAACCCAAAGGAAGTGGAAACATGTTTTCACAAAATGCTTGGTTCCTAAAATGCCTTGCTCTTCATACCATAAGCCAGTAAATGCGAATGTCCAGATAGAGCCTAGTGGCATTCCAGGTATTGCAGGGACATTTGGAGCTGGAGAAGCCAGGTCCCAAAGAGCACATTGCATTGCTCCCACCAACGAGTTAGCGGTGGAATTGTAAACCAGGTGAACCTCCAAAGTAGGGACAGAAAGCAGTGTGGGCCAGGGCCGACAGTGGAGTTGGATTGATAGGAAGAGGGTTAAGGGACAGAGGCTCAAGTAAGTAGTTGTGCATGCTGAGACTATAGGCATGTGCCACCATGCCTGACTTTGTTCTTGAGTTTCGTGCCAGGGTCTTTGTTGTGTACGTCACCCAGCCTTGATCCCTGGAAACCCTCCCTGTTTGAGTCCCAAGTGGGCCACTAAAAATACTTTTTCAAGACAGGGTCTTACTGTAGTCCCGGCTGGCGGGGAACTTGGAGCTCTCCTCCCTCTGGTTTCCTTGTGTGGGGTTAAAGGCATGAGCTACTACACATGTTCTTAGTTTTGGTTTTGGCAATGGTTTAATGGGAACTGATTGAAGCCTTAAGATGGGTGTATTTCCTTGTGTACAGATTATATTTCAAGAACGGAAAAGTGAAAGTCGATAATCAACTGTAGTTCAGCAATGTGTCTGTTAGCTCATTTAATCCTCAGGGCTATTCATTCAACAGTATTCAAGGAATACAGGGCCAGGAAGATGGGAAGTGGGTGAGCGTGCTAACTTCACAGCCCCATGGTTCCAAAGCCAGGTGCAGTGGCGCGCACCTGTGACCACAGCACCTGTGACCACAGCACCTGTGACCACAGGGAAGAGACGGGGCATGGAGGCCACTCCAGAGAACACAGCACAGTAGACAGTGGAGACCCTGCCTCAGCCAATAAGGCTGTTCCCAGAATCAGTTCTCTGCCTGGCACACTGGAGCATGCACATATACACATCAGCATTCTTTTCTGACCCAGCACAGGAAGAGTCCTGTAGAGAATGTGGCCCTCAGTCCAGCGCTAGCCCTGGGTCATGGTTGTGTGCTGTGCCCTCAGGAGTGTCTCATGGGGTTGTGGTGAGAATGGAACATGACAGTTTGGAGACCTGAGTATCATAGGAAGTACCAAATGCAAAGGCCCGTTGTCCTTCCCTTCTTATCTCCCCAAAGGGCTCTGGTTAAAAGCGAGACTTAGAGAGCCTTCTGTGCTTTTCCCAGACACTGCTCCGCTGTGTGGAGAATGATTTGTGACATTATTTTATTTTATCCTGATAAAAGCTCATTGGGGTCGAGAGGCAGGTGTTATCTATAGACGAGAAAATAGGGTCTCCTTTCATGTTTTCGGGGGTCTTTGGGACATCTGCGGACCGAGAAGGGTATTTTAGGATGCTGAGATGGACATCTACCAGCTCTCACAGCACAAAAGGGGCATGGCACGCTTGTCACAGACTTAGATCGGTTGGTTTCCTTAACTGCTATTTGGGGAGATAGAGTAGATAAACACACCCACAGCAAACATACAATAAAACATCAAATTCCCCCAAACAGGCCACCTAGGAAATTGGAATTATTAAAGGTGGTTCAGACTGGGCTAACATACAGGCCTGTAATCCTATGTACTTAGGATGTCCAGGCAGGAGGATTTAAAGTCCAAAGCCTGCCTGGGCTCTAAAAGAGTGTAAGGCCAATGTAGGCATTGTAGTGAGACCCTGTCTATCTCTGGAGATTGGGAAAAGACTCAGTGTTTACCTAAGGTGCCTGAGGCCCTGGGTTTAATCTCCATACCACTAACCTAACAAAGCAACCAGAGGCTTAAAGATGCAGTAGATTCTCTGATAAACTGATATAGTACAGTCAGGGTAGTCTCCTGATTGGTATCTGGGGTAAAATAGTTTAGTGACTGGAAGAGTATTAGGTGGAGGAAACCAGATATGGGGAAATAGCCACGGCCAGTAGCCAAGACGGCATCGCCGAGGGTGACCGCTGTTGGGGCTGCTGCTGCCTCAGTGCATCAAGCATGCTTGTGTTGCCGAAAAGTCCTGTTTCCTTCTTTGTTGTTGTGGTTTTTGTTTTTGTTTTTGTTTTTGTTTTTGTTTTTGGAGACAGGGTTTCTCTGTGTAGCTCTGGCTGCCCTGGAACTCGCTCTGTAGGCCAGGCTGGCCTCAAACTCACAGAGATCCTCCTGCCTCTGCTTCCCATGTGCTGGAATTAAAGGCGTGCACCACCACAGTCCAGTCAAGTTCATTGTTCTTCTTGGCAGTGAAAGGAAAAAGGAGAAGCCAGGCTTGGGGGCATGTTCCTGTAATTGAGCTGTTTGGGAAGCCAAAGTAGGAAGATTGCTTGAGTCCAAGAGTTTGAGGCCAGCTTGGGCAAAACATTGAGACCCTGGATTAAAACAGAGGGGAGGAGAGAAGGGCCAAGGTCCCAATGTTCACTTCAAATGCATTTCCCTAGTGCCCTAGCCCCTCCATCCCACCCCTTTGTAGCCTTCCAGGAGTACCTCTGGCTGGGATCAGCCTTACACAGCAGGTTCTCTGGAGCCATTTCAGATCCTGTTAGAAGGTTTACTCAGGACAGCAAACGTTACTGCTCTGTTTTAACATTACAGCTTCTCCGCTGATTTCCAGAGAGGTAACAAACATGACTGAGTTCTGGCTCATATCTGCTCCTGGGGAGAAAACCTGTCAGCAAACATGGGAGAAACTCCATGCAGCAACTACCAAGAACAATAACCTTGCGGTCTCTTCCAAGTTCAACATCCCTGACTTAAAGGTGAGGCCTCCTGTGCAGAAAACTGTGCTCAGGAAGCTGTGGGGCGGGGGAGGGGGTGCTGTGAGTTTGGGGGAGCCCGGGGAGGCTGGGAGGTTGGGGGAGCCTGAGGGGGCTGTGAGTTTGGGGGAGCCTGAGGGGGCTGTGAGTTTGGGGATTCCTGGGAAGGGCTCTGTTTAGGCAGAAGTGAATTCCTAGGTTCCGTTCATAGTAAATTTACTCCTCCCCAGCTGTTGATGTAATTTAGAGTAGATCTTGTCTTGGTTACATCTTATTTTCCTTAAGTATAAGGAAGTCTTGGTCCTGCATCACAAGTGGGATTCTCAGAAGAGAAAAATCTTAGTATATATTTTTAAACATCACAGTAATATTTCTGTTATTGTTTATACTCTATCCCCGTAGTACCTACTTAGGCATTATTTAATCCATTAAATGAATGCATCTAACATTTATTGAAGACCCATAATCCATCAGTTGTGATATGAAGCAGACTACCAGGATGTTAATTGAACTTTTGTGAAGACAGCATTTAACTACTTTTTGGTGTTTTGAGGCAGGGTTTCTCTTTGTAACAGTCTTAACTGTCCTGAAACTCGCTTTGTAGACCAGGCTGGTCTCGAACTCACAGGGATTGGCCTGCCTCTGCTTCCCAAGTGCTGGAATTAAAGGTGTGTGCTACCAGCCTGGCTAACAACATTTTACTTCGAAAGCATGGTCTTTGGCACACAATTGTGCACACAGACTCAACAGCAGGCCCTGTGGTGGACATCCACAGACCCATCTTAGAGTCCTGTTGTAAAGTAGGACATTTCTATTGTCCCTGGCCTGTTAAAGCAAGGTGGGCCTGCTCCTTAAGTGCCAAGTTTTCATGTTCTAAGTGGTAGTTTCCACTTAGAGAATTAACTCATACATACAAATTCACTTAAATGTTCAGCAAATGTTTTTTCTATATTCTATGAAATAAAAGTGGAGAATGTAAGATTTGTGAACCCTTCATATAAAGATACATCATCTAGCTTTTAAAGGTAAAGAGCTGGGAGAGTGATGGTACAAGCCTGTGATCCCAGCACTCAGTCAGCATAGGCAGGAAGATCAGGAGTTCAAGGCCAGCCTTGGCCATATACCAAGTTTGAGACCAGCGTGGACTAGATGGGACCCTGTCTCAAAAAAAAAAAAAAAAAAAAAAAAGGCTCCACTCACTTAAGGGGGTGGGAGACAGGGAGACAAGATATGGTGTTGTGAATCTGTAATCTCAGCACTGGGGGGCCTGGAGGAATGGGCACCGGGGGCTCACCTCAGTTACATAGAAAGGCCTGTGTCCAAGCCCTTGAATAAAAAGTGAACGTGATGAGAGTTGAACACTAAGCTGAGTCTCCCTTCCAGGTTGGCACATTGGATGTCTTGGTTGGCTTGTCGGATGAACTGGCTAAACTGGATGCGTTTGTAGAAGGGTAATGTATCTGAGTTCGTGGGGCTGGACAGTGAGACTGTTGTCGGTATCAGGTTGTGTGGAGAGTGTCTTTCCAGATGCCGTGTTCTCTATTGGAGCTGGATGACTTTAGGAAATGACTGTTTTTCTTTGTATGTCAGTGTTTTGTGTATATTTGTGTGTCTGCACATGTCAGTCAGGATACAGGGTCTCTCAT